AATTCTCCCCTAATCAGCGGTCTTTGTTCTCTAATCTTAGTTAGCAAAACATTTTTGACACGTGACAACTTAATGTGTTCCATGGCTGTGAAACTTAGTCACTCTACGGAATCGAACAGGACAGTATTATTCTTCAACTTCCTAAGTTCTATTCAGTATTCACAATATGTTGTTGCATATAAATAGACGCCAAATCTGACGAATGACTGAATCGAAAATCCATATTTCTATAGTAATTCTTTATCACATTAACTAAGCTTGACATACACTAATCCAATTTCACGTATTACAATAACTTGCAGTGAAGTAACGCAATAAAGAAGTTCAGGAGAGGTGGGAATTAAAAGTATATTAAACATTTAATTAATTTACAAAAGACAATTACGATGAGGAGTATTAGTGCTAGTCTCATCGATCATCATTTTCTGTGATTTCATATTCGAAACCAGCATTCACCTAAAAAAACGTATGTAAAAATTTGTACAACGTGGAGCTATAAAAAATAATTTTATATACGATCATACAAAATGAATACATTGACTCTATTGAGTGAGTAAGATTTCTGTGCAAATTAAAGTATTTGTAGTCCACATCCGATTTTTACATTGATACCATGTGCACAAATAGGCTTCAACTGTCGTCCAATACCAGACGGTAATACGCAGATTTTTAGGCAATCTCTGAAACATCCGTACTGTTAGGACTCAAGGAGAAGGAATAATTGATCTTTGGTGGATCCTTACATTTTGACAAAGTCTTCCCACTTCCGAATAGAGAGAAGCGTGTTCAGGTCGTAGGTTTAGACACTGTCGAGGCATTATTCTTTCATCAAGATTAATTGCAGATCAAACAAATGGAAGACAGAATAACCTTACACCAATAAACTTGCACTGTAGCGGTAGGTGATTCATGAAAATTGTTAGCCACAGCAATCATCACTGAACATTGGATGCTGACCCTCACTCTTTGAGTCAACTTGTTTAGCTGAAGGCTTCCGGTCAAGCATCCACCACATTTGGCACTCCGTCGTGTCACGTTAGTTCGTTCGTTCGTGCATAATCCCTAGCTAGTTAAGCAATCATCTCTCACTCTGACTTGGTCCCGAAATACAACTCGTAATTTGGACGGTCGATTCTGGTGTTTTGCTCTGCCTTTGGTCTACGTGGAACGAATACTATAGAAAATGTGGATATTAGATCTCGCCTTAGTATACTTCGTACTATCTTTGAACATCAATACCTTCAGCCTCTAAAAGGTCGAAGGGAGTATTGAATATGTGTAACCTAGAGATTAATCCACAATCTAAGTAATGCCTAGTGAACATGGTTTTGTGAATCCTACGGAAAATATATCCGCATATTTAGGAAACTATACCCATCAAATATAAGGTACGTAGGATTCAACTCTAAACACTGTACACTTATGTACATCGTTAACTCAGCATAGATTGCTACTAAAAATATCGTAAGATGCACATACCTATCGTGCTTATGAGGATAACAATGTCACATGATGCAAACTAGACATTCAATCGTTATACTTCATCTGTGGTGTTTAATGTACATGGAAACTTTGGGACAAATAAATGTCCGTCATTGGTGATAACACTGAGGCATAAGCATTATTTACACAGTGAAAATGGAATGACAGTCAGTAAATTGGGAACAATAGAGTTAATTAGATTAAGTTCTCGAGATGAACACAGTTCATGTGCATAGTGATGCCATGTATAGAATTAACGCATTAAGTAACGAACCAATGCAAATTAAGCGAGCAAATACCCTTTCCACTTCCACTGAAACAATCATGAGAATCACCTATACTTATTAGCCTAGTAATCAGCGAAGCAGACAATAGTACAACATCAATGTAGTTGATAAACATTTTATGCACTGAATCGACGCAACACTGCATCGACTGGTGCAATAGTAATAAAATATTCTCAGTTTTGTTCATCAGGGATGCCAGGCATCATCAATATGACAAACAATATGTACATGGAGTAAGCATACTTACACTTATTCAATTATGCAAGATATATTTAAGATGAGGTAGTGGAATTTGTATTGTAGCCATACGCAGCTCAATACTGGCTCATCTCGTCGACAGTGGACATCAAATAGACTCTAACAGAGTTTTGAAAATTATTACCTCTTGCATGGTCCACTAGTACAACTTTTACATACAGCAGAGGCAATCGGAATTCATCTGAACAAGCCAAATCTATGCGTCAGTTCAAGAGAAATTTGTACAGCCCCTTTCTTTACCATGGCCAACTACATAATATGTATTAAGTTTTCAAAAACGAGTTTTTCCTTTTCTCTTGTAATTATCTTTTGACTTTGTTAACTTTTACAATTTGAGCTAATTCTATTAACTTGTTTGTATTTTACGTAATTCCTCTGAGTCATCCTATTCTTC